CTCTCTGACCGTTCTGCCCTGTGCTCCCATCTCCCTCCTCCCCGACTATGACACCGTCCTGATCGTGCTCCCAGCTCCCTCCTCTCCGATTTGAATTTGTTTTTGTGCATGTTGTTCTAGATGAAGCACATGTTTTGATCTGTATAAATGATGTTTGATCTGGTCTAATGATGATTTTGTATTTCATGTTTGAATTTTGAAATGAGCACTGAATCTAGATCTGTAGATGTGGATTTGAATTTTGAAAATGAATCAATGGGCTTTTCTCCAAATCATCTTCCCTGGCGGCTAGGCAGCTGCATGGGTATTTTTTTTGGCCCAAAATAGATTTTCACTGGCGTCCGATTTAACACAGCCACCAACGATAATTCATTTTCGCAGGCGGCCGTCTTAAGCCAACCGCCAGCGAAAATGAATCTTTGCTGGCGGCTGGCTTAAGATGACCACCAGTGAAATTGAATTATTGCTGGCGGTCGATAACCGCTAGCGAAGATCTTGATCTTCACTGGCCTTTGCTTTGTGGCGGCTCCAAATTCCGCCAGCGAAAAACCCAAATTGGCCGCCACGAAAGATGGTTTTTGTGGTAGTGTAATAAGAACAAGAATCTAGATCTTGACAAAATAAACAGAAAATATCCATTATGTAAGTATTAACAAATAATATGGAGAGGTAAATTATGTCATAGGAATTGAGGTTCAGTCCATGATAAAACATTATACCATAGCAAAATTTGCACTCGAAATACTATGTGATAAAAAGATGATTATTAAGAGAGAGAGAGAGAGGGGGGGGGTGGCCTGTCGTTGTTGGACCTCCTCCAAACCCCTGCATACCCATCCTTTTCTTTTGGATTTGGCTTCCTGTGCAAAAAGTTTAAACCAGGCTATTTAATTACTCCGAGGACTTCTGGCTATTTGAAACTTTGTAACTCACCTACAAGGTTAACCAAAGGTACGCTAGTAGAGATCACTACATTTTTAAACGTTTTAAATTTGACCAAATTTATAGAGAAATACAGCAAAATTTTCAAAAAATATATATATTAAATGGTGGATATAATGAAACTAATTTAGTGTTACAGATGTTACTACTCTTTTTATAAACTTAATCAAACTTAAAAAGTTTGAATTAAGATAGAACCAAAATGTATTATAGTATGAATCAGATGTAGTATATATAGCTAGCTGTGCTTGGCATTGTGGGACAGGAGATACCCCTCCGGCCCAAAAAAAAAAAAAACCTAATCCTAACTGTAAACCTGGATATATACATATCTAGATTCGTAGCTAGGATTTGCATTTTTCTGGGACGGAGGGAGTATTAACTACTTGTAATTAAAGATTTTCCACTGGACCCACATATCATAGACACAAAATACTGAAGCGTAACATCGCAAGAAGTGATTACCTATTTGGAAGTAATTAGGTAGTGAATTTGAACTTCGATCTAGCTACACTATTCCATATTATATTACAAGAAGTAAATATAAACATTTTTCCGATTTATGTATAGTCCTAATTAAATCCCATTTTGCATTTCACTTAATGTTGAAAAACATGATGATAATATTCAGTTTCAATCATGAAAAATATTGTTCTTCACTCATCTTATGCTTGTTGCACTGTAAATAGTCATGAAAAATAAAATAAATATATATATATATATACACACACACATGGGGTGCGTTGTATTACAACGCACCCACCCCCCCCACCCCCACCCCTCCTACACGTATTGTCATCGTAGTAAAGTATTTACTATGATGGACCCCTCCACCTCCCCCAGTCTGGCGCACCTTTTTTAGTCTGTCTAAACCTTTAATTTGGTTAGTAACCGGTTTACTACATGAAGAACTATTTTCATTGTAGTAATGTATTTACTACAAGGGAAGTGTTGGTTCTTATTTCTAATTATCCTCCAAACCACTCAGTATCTATACCAATAGTAATTTTATTACTATGAATTAGCCGCTAAATATGTTAGAAATAATTGTTTTGAGTTTTATAAAATCCATTCATAATCATAATCATTGCCACCTTATTTAATTACTTATTATAGGAGATGCCTTGGTTGATTGTTTAATTATCTGCCCAAACCCCTCCATATCTGTACTGATAGTAATTTAATTACTATGAATCAGCCGCTGCAAAATTTCCGTATGCATGTACATATGTTGCTTTTTTAATCTAAAGTCCTTTTATATTTTATATATATTACAACTGAGTTTTATAAAAATCTATCCATAATCATAATATTTTCCACCCTATTTAATTATTATTTATATTCAACAAAGGCCAATGTCAAATCCATGATAATTATTTTAATTTGTAGTAAATATTTAAATTGCTATTTTTTTGTTAATAATATTCTTTCGATCCTGGATGGATAGCAACGAACGTTTCCTAAAGGCACGCTTTTTTTTTCTTGGACTAACCAGTCAATCGGATTGATTCCCCATCTTCCATATCCTTTCTGTTTTTATCGCTCCGCAGGCGGCGGCGGCGGTTCCCGGCGACCGTGGGCTTGTGACGGAGGACACCGGAGGGGCGAGCCGACGACCTGATTCTGCGTCCCCTGAAGGGCTTGCTCCGACGACGCCGGACTGATCAGCCTACCGCCGGTGACGGTGTGTTTAGAATCCACGGCCAGCCACCATTGTTTCAAAGAATCCTGAAAACGTGAGATCTGCATCCCCCAGCCCTACATACTCATCTCCAGCGAAGCTTTTTCTCTCGACTTTGAAAGCCCTATGTGAGGAATAAACACACTACCTCCTCGGCCTTGTATGGAATGCATTTTTTCCGGATCGGGAGTCCACTGATCCATAACTACCTCCCTACATTCCCATTTTTTTTATAAAAATAACATTTTAAAAAAAAACCTTCGAAATTACAGCGCACAATGCATTCCAGAAACAGTAATTTTAACGTCCAGTAAAAATTTTACTACCGACTCAATTAATATATTTAAAAAACCATAAGTTAATAAGGGCAAAAATCATCGCTGTGCACTAATTAAATCAATAGTAAATTGTTTGCTAACTGAAAAAATGAGGTTCTTATCGTAAGATAATTACTAAATCGCACGTAGCTTTTCCCTCCGTGATGACAGTGCGATCGAGGATGAGATTCTGCAAGCATCTATCAACAATAGTACATTTTTTGCTAACGATATATTTATATAGTCATAGTAAATGAGTTACTAAGTCAAACCTTCAGAGGTTACAGGTGTGACACACGCGTTACTCGGCTTGTTATTGCGGAAGCAAACCAAATAATCCTCAGTAACTCCATTACTGCTAGACCAAACATCATAATTAAGTAACTACTTTACTCACACAAACTAAAAAATATTACTCGGTTGGTTAGTGCGGAAGCAAACCAAATAATCTTCAGTAACTCCTTTAATGACAGACAATACCATCAGTAACTACTTTACTCACACAAACTAAAAATCTTTCTCGGTTGGTTAGTGCGGAATCAAACCAAAGAATCATCAGTAACTCATTTACTGACAGATCAGAACAACATAATCAAGTAACTACTTTACTCACAGAAACTAAAGATATTGCTAGTAATATTGTTACTAACAATCCAACCTTGACTTTGTGCGGCCTGTGTGCGACAACTGGGAGTGGGTGGGGTGCGGGGGGTGTTGCACCATCAAATTTCTACGTATAGTAACTAATTTACTTATAGTGTAATGTGCCATTTTCTAAGATTTAGTAATAACTTTACTACACATTATTTTGAAAAGGTGCAGGGGATCGGTGGGTGGGTGGGGGGAGGGGGTGCTGTGAGGGGAGTAGTTTAGTTATTACGCACATATATATATATATATATATATATATATATATATATATATATATATATATATATATATATTACAATATTGTATGTCACGGCACAAACATTTATTACCATTATACACTCAGAATAAAGAAACAAAAATTTGGCTATGAAAAAAATTGAAAAATTTCTATCCAAATTTATTTGTTTCGTTTCTGTTTGTGTACATCAATTTCAACTTGAAATTTGCAAAATGGTAGCCTATTGCATAAATGTTGTCAATCTTTTTAGAATAATCTTTTATTACTATGTGATGTATTGATATTAAGGAGTGAGAAGTAAACAAGTGAGTATGCACTATTGAGTTGTAAAAATCAGGCTCAACCTCTATATTTGCTGATCGAATTAAAAATAGGTCCTGCTGAAATTTCAGACCGGAATTTTTGAGTGGAGTGATCAGTTAAAGGGATATAGACTGCTTTCAAGAAAGATCAGTGCGTGGAGAGAGAGAGAGAGAGAGAGAGATTGACTGATTGATTGAGTGATTTCTACAGACTTGGGGTGGGGTTGGGGGGCTAGAATATATAGACATATCTCTACCAATGATGCTAGAAGAGGGTTAGAGGGATGAGGCAACTAGAGAATTAGTGAGAGCATTACTCACATGAGACAGATAGAAAGCACAGTGAGAAACTAATCAATCAAATGGAACAATATATAATCAGCAAATAAGTTTATGCTAGGATTAGTATTCTTTCGAATTCCTTTCAAACATTCATATCTTCTTTGCTTTCATTGTTAACTACTACATATAGTTGAAAGCGATACACAACTCCATTCACAACCACAAATAATAAAGAACTGGATATGTGCAAGCTTAATTTGTGAACCCAATAAGTAATCCATTTTCATGTTTGGTTATTATATATATGAAGCCTAGCTACATTTATGATCAAGCCGATTGCACTGGCAAGTAGCCGATGGACAGAGCATATTAATTTGGTCGGCTTGAGGAATAGAAAGAATGAAGCATATTTGTGTTTTTTTTTCAAAATACTTCGAGAATTTAGAATGAACATTCCCAAGTAAATACTGGAACAATTTCAAAGTATCAATTAACCAAGGGGAAAATAGGAGAGGGACGACGCAAGGCAGGATCAGTTATATTGCGAATAAAGATTCTCAGATGGAATATGCAGAATCTGAAGAACATGAATTACATATCACATGCCAAAATTAATTGGCTAATTGAGAACAAAAAAAAAAACAACAACAGAGCTAGACCATATCCGTCTGTGAACTCAACTATAGAAGAATGAAACACCGATTGATAAATATATATCAAGCACACAAGCACACAGCATCACTAAAAAAAACACATTCTTTACGTAGACGCAATTTGGGAGGAAAACTAGCTAGTTATTAGGGGCCTGTTCAGATTGTAGCCAAAACAAACCTTACTAAATTTTGGCATTTGGCAAGATGACAATATTGCTAAAATTTTAGCAGGATTTCTTCTATATTTACCAAATTTGATAACAAACTAAACGTAAACATTTTTTATGGTTGAAAATGGCATCAATCTGAACAGCCTATAAGTTTCAACTTACCTGTCAAACAACAGGACGATGGTTACAGCCTGAGAGACAAGTCCTGGCCGTGGGCTTGCTGGACGCCGTACTCCGGCGAGCTCTCGCCGCGCGCGAAGCCACCGAACTCGGGAGCAGAGGCGGCGGCGCCCCGCTGCACCTCCTCCGCCCTCACCTTCTGAGCTGCTGGAAGGGGATCGGACCCGGCGCCGTAGCCGCCGTCGTGGTTCGCAGCCGCCCCCGCCTGGAGGACGACCGCACGGTGCGCCAGGATCTCGGCGGCGATGGCCTCCCGCCGGAGCTTGGCCTGGCTGCGCTCGAGCTTGTGCGCGTTCTGGTGGCCGCCGAGCGCCTGCGAGCTGTGGAACTTGCGGTCGCAGTACATGCAGAAGAAGAATCCGACGAAGGGCGGCGGCGGCGGAGGGGTGTAGCAGAGGGTGAGCTCTAGGTTCATCTCGGCCTCCTCCTCCCTGCTGTTCACCGCCATTAGACTATCTAGCTAGCTAAGCTACGGACCTGCGCCTATGCCTGTGTGTTTATATATGTTGGCGGCAGTAATTACTCTATTGATGTAAGCGTGATTAAATTCAGCACCTAGCTAACGAGTGTGTTACACTATGCCGCAGGTCAGGTTAATTACTGGAGCAACAAGTGGACGGACGTGCGTACGTCAGGCACGTTTCCAATACGTAGATGATCAAGTGTTAGACCAGCCCCAACCCTCCATAGCATTTAATATATTGCCACATAAGCAAAGATTTGACGTGGCAAAAGTGTTAATGATGAGAGAAATAAAAAGATGAAGAGATGGTTTCTCGTGCAATAAATCATTTCTACACAAGAACCAAAAATAAAAACAAAGGGGTATAGAAAGATAAAAGAAGAGAGGAGAGAGGTGATTGGATGAGAATTTAATTTGAAGACACTATCCATTAAATATATAGTTTTTATACATAGTGTCTATATGACATGATAAGTATGGAAACTATTTAATAGTTTCTGGGTTAGAGATGGCCTTAGTGCACGTGGAGTCGTTGATGGAACGTTGTAGTTTTTGGCCGACATCAGTATAAAACAAAGGAACAATATCGGGATAAGTCCATTTAACCTCCCTCAACTATCGTGTTCGTCTAAAACACATCCCCTCAACTATAAAACCAGGAAGCGGTACATCCCTTAACTATTCAAACTGTTTAATTTACAACCCCAGCCTAAACCAAAGCGGTTCTCACCTACATGGCAATAGAAGTCAATAAAACAAATAAATAAAATTGTGGGACCCAAATGTCATCCCCGTCATATTCGTTCTTCTTTCCCCTTCTCTCTGTTCCTTTTCTCCTCTGCGCACCTGTCTCGCACTACTTGATGCACCTGTCTTGCACTACAAGTGTGGGCACCAGTGAGCCGGCCCGGTCCTTCTAAGCCCGACATGAAGAGAGATTTGGAGATGCCACATCCACCGACATCCTCTGAATCCTAGCCTCGAGCTCTCTAGAGGATCTAGCCGGCTTGCCGCATACCTCCACCTCCATTGGACTAGCTAATGATGGCCTCCTAACATGACTTGCGATCTAGTCATGAGCCGCAAGCTCCACCACCATCGTGAGCCTCAAGTTTCGTCACAACCCTCAAGTTCGGAGAGACAATGGCTGGCTCGGGGATAAGATTAGGCAGAGAAAGGAGGGAGAGGAGAGCATGATAGTGGGCCCCGCATTTTTTTCCGTTTTTGCTGATGAAGGGGAGGATGGTAGATGGGTCCCATAATTTTATTTATTTATTTTGCTGAATCAGATTGCCACGCAAGCTCCACTTGTGAAAACCACTTTGGTTTAGGATGAGGGTGTAAATTATATGGTTTTGATGGGTACATAACACTAGATCATGTAATGAGGTCCTAAAATAACTAAATACGACAATAAAGTAACCTTTGACGGTATCTCTATGCACTACTAGAGAACCCTACATCTCTCCCGGTTCGCAACCCTCTTTAGTCCCGGGTTGCAAACCAGGAGGGAGAATCCGGGACTAAAGATGGCGATCTTTAGTCCCGGTTGAAATACCCGGGACTAAAGATGGATCTTGGGGTTACCAATCGGGACTAAAAATAAAAGCGCCACGTGCCTAGGGCGCTTTCTCTTTTCTTTTTTTATTGTTTTTTGCTATTTGCATATTGATTTCGCACCGAACTCAACAATAAAATCATCCACACAGAAACATCACAAAATCATCGACAAATTGACATCACTGATTCATATGCAACTTCATATAAACATCTAAAAATCATCCACAAATTTACATCACAAAATCATCTACAAATTCACCCACAAATTTATATCACAAAATCATCACAAAATCATCGCAAAATCATCACAAAGTCATCGCCTCCGGATTGCCCGCCGCCTGCCACCTCCCCTCCGTCTGCACCGCCACCGGCAGCCTCCCATCCGCGGGCTGCAGCCGTCCCCCGCCACCTCTACCGCCGCGCCGACGCTGAACGGGGCCGCCGCTCGCTGCCGCGCGGGCTGCAGCCATCCCCGGCCGCGCGGGTTGCCGCCGCCCGCTCCCTCGCGTAGGCCGCCACCCCTGCCGCAAGGGGCCACCACCGCTCGCTCCTGGGCGGGCCGCCGCCGCCACTCACTCTCGGCAAATGCCATCCACCCGCTTGAGGATAAGAGAGAAAGAAAAGGATAAGGAGGAAAGAGAGAGTGGAAAGAGGAGGAAAGGGAGGAGGAATTGTTAGCACGTGAGGAGGAGAGGATAAGGGCGAGGGATTAAATACTCGCGTTACTAAAGATAGAGAGTGGCGGGACGATTTCTGAACTGGGACTAAAAATTATATTTAGTCCTGGTTGATAACACCAACCGGAACTAAAGATCATAAAAGTGTGGTGGGCTTTTCAACCGGGAAAAATGATTTTTAATCCCGGACTATTGTGATTTTAGACCGACCCAGCAAAGATCAGTTCTCCAGTAGTGATGGGCGAGTGGGCGTGCAATGGACCGAGGAAATTAATATAAAACAGTAAATTTAGTATAGTCTAAAATCAATGTACATAAATTAAAGAAGTAATTAACTAAACCCGACAACAGAAATAACTCTTTCTAGCTGGTTTAAATAACTATATAGGGAATAGCTAAAACTATAATTAAAAATTTGATTAAACCTAAAAGTAATTTACATAAATAAAAAATAATTTATATAAATCATACTCTGTAAAGCCAAATTATACAACTAGATAGTATCCGTACTATGCACCCATTTTTTTTGACGCCTTACAGCTTCGGTGAAGTGGTGACCGTTAATTATGCCGGGGATCAAAAGCTAAGGTGAGAACTCACCGCAAATTACAAGGCCCCTAACGAGCGACTGGTCGCGCGGGCTCCTACTACAGCTGCTGCTACTGCTCTTCTAGTAGTAGTAGTACTACTACTCCTACTCCTACTGTTACTGCTGCTCTGCTCCTGCTACTACTATTGGCGCGCGCTGCTACTGCAACTACTACAATAGTAGTACTACTACAATACTACTACATGTATATATACGTATGTATATACTTTGTATACATTTTACATACACATATATACATTTTGTATTGATAAAATACAAAGTTTGTACATATGTATACAACGTGTGTGTATACTTATATATAACTTTTATGTGTACCAAAACATTAACGTATAAAAAATATACATGTATACAAATTTTATATGTATATATTAAAAACCGAGAAAAAAAACACGAATACAAATTTTGTATGCGTACAAATACAAAATTTGGTATACATACAAATATAAACTTTACATACGTATATCTTAAAAAACCGGAAAAAGGAAGAGAGAAAAACGAAAAAACCAAACCAGAAAGAGAATCAAAAAAAAGGAAGACAAACCGAAAAAAACAGAAAAAAAGGGAAGAGAAACGAAAAAAACCAAACAGAAGAATCGGAAAAAAAAAACTCTCGCGCAGGCGCCGTTCGCCGTCCCCCTCCACGCGCGACACGTATCCAGTCGAGCGGGGCAGGGTGCGCGCGACTGCCGATTAGCTTTTTCGAATTACAAGGCGCACGCAACGTACACACATGTACAGTCATTAAATCGAAGACTATATAAATGGGCCACATCTATTTATTCATAGATAGGTTACAGCCCATATGATACTAGATAGGCCGGAGCGGTCCATGATAAAATGGGCCAAATTACTGGGCCATGTCCTTGGGAACTAGCCAACAAATTAATTTAGATGAAACTGGGTTGGCACTTGGCAGCCAGGTAAATAATGGGCCGCGAGTTTTTAATCGGATGCAGAACCCACGATCAGCGGCAGACCACGTGCAATTTTGCTGTACATTCGTCGTTAATTTTTTTTCTAAAATTTTTTAAATGTGAATACAGTATAATTGTATAATTGTTATATAGTAAATTGTATGTAAATATAATATAAGATTTGTGCAAGCGGGGAAAGAAAAATCATAGAGCGCGCAGGTGAGGGGATTCGATTCCACGATCTCTGCTTCACTGAAATACTGTGTTATTGTAGGGTTTTTAAAATTTACGTATAAGTTATATCATATATGTAGTTCCAGAAAATGTATCGACAAGTATATACGTAATCCTGACCGTGGATACGTATATATTCACTGCATGCTTATGTTCAACTTCTCGCATATATGGTCCATGTCATATTCTTGAATTCTTCCCTTGCTTGCAGCACAGAATTCCCTTGAAAATTCCTACAACCTTCACCTCAGCATGGAGTTATTCTCAAAACATGCGAATATAAAACATAGCAAGTGGTGGAGTTCGAATCCTATAGAGAATAATGGAGCGTACGAAAAACGTAGGAATTAGAAGAAAGATGGACCATAAAAAGATTTTTTTTTTAAAAAAGATGTTGGGCTCAAGTTAAAATGAGCATTTTTTGAGCTCCAGCTAGATGCTCCTAAGCACCCTACAGGCTACAACCATCGAAGCTTCCATCGTCTAGTAAGAGCATCTCCAACAGTCTCTCCAAATCGAACTCTCCAAATACCCATATAGCCAACTCTCCATCTGATTTAGCTAGTCAAACTAGATGCTCTTTCCAACAGACTCTCTATTAATCCTCTCCAAAATAACAACGGACCCACGCGTCAGCCTCTACACCTCTTCTTCTTCTCTCTCTCCCCCTTCTTCCTTCTTTTCCCCTTTCTTTCCTTCCCATTCCCTTCGCTGATGCCGACAGCGGCCGCGCGCGGTGGCTCGATGATGCGGGGAGGCAGGAGGTGAGACGCCGTCGACCTCCCCTCGAGCTGCCAGATCTGCAAGGCGGCGGCGGCGGAGCTCGGGGCGGAGCTCGGCGGCGACCGCTCGCGACGACGACCAGGGGCGACGACGACCTCGATGATGCTCGGGGCGGAGCTTGGCGGCGGCGGCGGCGACGGCTCGCGACGACGACCTCAACGACGACCCGGGCCGACAACGACCTCAACGATGCTCGGGGCGGAGCTCGGCCGGCGGCGGCGA